ACCTGGGAAACATATATCCCTAGTGATATGTGTTCCCCCACCTAAGAAACACATATCCCTAGTGATATGTGTTCCCCTAACTGGGAAACACATATCCCTAGTGATATGGGTTTCCCCACCTGGGAAACACATATCCCTAGTGATATGTGTTCCCCCACCTGGGAAACACATATCCCTAGTGATATGTGTTCCCCCACCTGGGAAACACATATCCCTAGTGATATGGGTTCCCCCACCTGGGAAACACATATCCCTGGTGATATGTGTTCCCTTTCCTGGGAAACACATATCCCTAGTGATATGTGTTCCCCCACCTAAGAAACACATATCCCTAGTGATATGTGTTCCCCCAACTGGGAAACACATATCCCTAGTGATATGGGGTCCCCCACCTGGGAAACACATATTCCTAGTAATATGGGGTCCCCCACCTGGGAAACACATATCCCTAGTGATATGGGTTCCCCCACTTTGGAAACACATATCAATGGTGATATGTGTTCCGCCACCTGGGAAACACATATCCCTAGTGATATGGGTTCCCCCACCTGGGAAACACATATCCCTAGTGATATGTGTTCCCCCACCTGGGAAACACATATCCCTAGTGATATGTGTTCCCCCACCTGGGAAACACATATCCCTAGTGATATGGGTTCCCCCACCTGGGAAACACCTATCCCTGATGATATGTGTTCCTTCACCTAAGAAACACATATCCCTAGTGATATGGGTTCCCCCACGTGGGAAACACATATGCCTAGTGATATGTGTTCCCCCACGTGGGAAACACATATCCCTAGTGATATGTGATCCCCCACCTGGGAAACACATATCCCTAGTGATATGGGTTCCCCCACCTGGGAAACACATATCCCTGGTGATATGTGTTCCCTAACCTGGGAAACACATATCCCTAGTGATATGTGTTCCCCCACCTAAGAAACACATATCCCTAGTGATATGTGTTCCCCCAACTGGGAAACACATATCCCTAGTGATATGGGGTCCCCCACCTGGGAAACACATATTCCTAGTAATATGGGGTCCCCCACCTGGGAAACACATATCCCTAGTGATATGGGTTCCCCCACTTTGGAAACACATATCAATGGTGATATGTGTTCCGCCACCTGGGAAACACATATCCCTAGTGATATGGGTTCCCCCACCTGGGAAACACATATCCCTAGTGATATGTGTTCTGCCACCTGGGAAACACATATCCCTAGGGATATGTGTTCGCCCACCTGGGAAACACATATCCCTAGTGATATGGGTTCCCCCACCTGGGAATCACCGATCCCTGATGATATGTGTTCCTTCACCTAAGAAACACATATCCCTAGTGATACGGGTTTTCCCACCTGGGAAACACATATCCCTAGTGATATGTGTTCCCCCACCTGGGAAACACATATCCCTAGTGATATGGGTTCCCCCACCTGGGAAACACATATCCCTGGTGATATGTGTTCCTTCACCTAAGAAACACATATCCCTAGTGATACGGGTTTTCCCACCTGGGAAACACATATCCCTAGTGATATGTGTTCCCCCACCTGGGAAACACATATCCCTAGTGATATGGGTTCCCCCACGTGGGAAACACATATCCCTAGTGATATGTGTTCCCCCACGTGGGAAACACATATCCCTAGTGATATGTGATCCCCCACCTGGGAAACACATATCCCTACTGATATGGGTTCCCCCACCTGGGAAACACATATCCCTGGTGATATGTGTTCCCTAACCTGGGAAACATATATCCCTAGTGATATGTGTTCCCCCACCTAAGAAACACATATCCCTAGTGATATGTGTTCCCCTAACTGGGAAACACATATCCCTAGTGATATGGGGTCCCCCACCTGGGAAACACATATTCCTAGTAATATGGGGTCCCCCACCTGGGAAACACATATCCCTAGTGATATGGGTTCCCCCACTTTGGAAACACGTATCAATGGTGATATGTGTTCCGCCACCTGGGAAACACATATCCCTAGTGATATGGGTTTCCCCACCTGGGAAACACATATCCCTAGTGATATGTGTTCCCCCACCTGGGAAACACATATCCCTAGTGATATGTGTTCCCCCACCTGGGAAACACATATCCCTAGTGATATGGGTTCCCCCACCTGGGAAACACATATCCCTGGTGATATGTGTTCCCTTTCCTGGGAAACACATATCCCTAGTGATATGTGTTCCCCCACCTAAGAAACACATATCCGTAGTGATATGTGTTCCCCCAACTGGGAAACACATATCCCTAGTGATATGGGGTCCCCCACCTGGGAAACACATATTCCTAGTAATATGGGGTCCCCCACCTGGGAAACACATATCCCTAGTGATATGGGTTCCCCCACTTTGGAAACACATATCAATAGTGATATGTGTTCCCCCACCTGGGAAACACATATCCCTAGTGATATGGGTTCCCCCACCTGGGAAACACATATCCCTAGTGATATGTGTTCCCCCACCTGGGAAACACATATCCCTAGTGATATGTGTTCCCCCACCTGGGAAACACATATCCCTAGTGATATGGGTTCCCCCACCTGGGAAACACATATCCCTAGTGATATGGGTTCCCCCACCTGGGAAACACATATCCCTGGTGATATGTGTTCCCCAACCTGGGAAACACATATCCCTAGTTATATGGGTTCCCCCACCTGGGAAACACTTTTTATTATTGCATTGAATCGCCGGTAAATACATTCATAGCCTGAATCCAATACTAAAAATATTAAATTTTAAATACCTTTAATACGGCACAAATCTTGTAACCAATTGCCCATAAAGGCACAATCTTTTCCACGAAAATCTCCAACATGCTCTAACACCGCGTCCCTCATGACAGCTCGCCTCGCCAGAGATTTCGAGATTTCGAGATATCACATGATATCGGGGGTGCAGTTCAAATTCCCCACCCCTTACGCATGGGGATCAAATTCCCTACCCCCTGCTGGAAGACTCTGATAATCAAATTCCCTCCTCCCCGGGAAAAAGGTGTCAAATGCCCGGGGTATGCCTGGGAGGGGGGGGGATGTTGAAGCTTCGATTTGACCGATACATTACTCTAGTAACCGACTGGGGACATGTCTAGATGTGAAGTACAGTACTATATTAGAGTTCTTCTTGATCAGTTTTTACGGGCTCCTGTTCGTGTACACTAGCCAAAATTCTTGATGTCATGATAGACAGTGAGATGTCTTTCCCAGAGGGCGAAATCTCTAGTAACTCGCATGTATATAAAGGAAAGTACTTACAGTTGAAATGTTCAGTCAGTATGCCAGAAAAAATCGCGATTTGATTGAACAGGGGCCGCGAGGAATTGGTGGGTAATGATGACGTTTCTATTGTTAGCACCTGCAAGTAACGGATGGTTTAGCTCAAATTCTGTTGACAACTAGGTTTTTGTAAACAAATGGGCATTTTGTATGTTTTTTTTTTTCGAAAAATGTTAAAAAATGGCCATTTTCGATCTTATGTTTTTTTGTGGAAAATGAGGTAGAAAAAATTGTTTCTTGATATTCTGGAGAGAAAAGAATGTTTTCTACACAAGAAAAATTAAGTTTTTAAAAGTGAAAAAAATCGAAGTTTTCTGAATGGGTATGGACTAACCCCTTTGGAAAAATTTCGATTTTTGTCACTTTTTGAAAACTTCTTTTTTCTTGTCTAAAAAAATTCTTTTCTATTCATAATGTCAAGAAAAAAATTTTTCTGGCCCATATTAGAGAAAAAAAGAAATGGAAAATGGCTATTTTTTGACAAAATCAATGGACTAATCCCTTTGGAAAATTGCCATTATGTATACTGTATTTTTTTTGTCTAGAAAATAATCTTTTCTATCCAAAATGTCGCTAAACATTTTTCTGGCTCATTTTGCGGAAAAAAAACAAACCATGGAAAATAGCCATTTTTTGACGAAAACCATAGACTACACCCTTAGCAAAAATTGGGATTTTTTGAAATTTTTTCAAAACTTTACTTTTCTTGTCTAGAAAACATTCTTTTCCGTCCGGAATGTCACGAAACATTTTTTTTGCTTTATTTTGCAGAAAAACACAAACGATGGAAAATGGCCATTTTTTGACAAAAACCATGGACTAACCCCTTTGGAGAACTTCTACTTTTTTGACTTTTTTCATGTCCACAAAACATTCTTCTGTATCCAGAATATCACGAAACAGTCTTTTTGTCTTATTTTGCGGAAAAAAACTGTCTTGCCTTCTCCCCTTCCCCGTCGCTTTGTGGTTGGAACTCGGTTTGGCTTTTTGCACCACTGAAAAGCACTTGAGCCTCCCAAGCAAATGTTCGAAGGTTCACTTTCCTTGAGGAAGAACGAATCTAAAGGAAGGCAGCATGGGTGGCAAGCACAGTATGGGCTGGGATGGGTCTATCCTCTTTTTGTTCCCTTGGGGAAGGGGTGGGGCTACTTTTCGAAGATATGTATGGGGTGGTTTAGCCTTCCATACGCTTTTATATACCAATTTTAAACATTTTCCCACCCATTTATATACTTCAACTTCAACTTGTAAAATCCCAGCCATTTCAGATACACAGGTTAAAAAGGGTACTCCTTTAACTTTTTAAGCCCCTGTATCCAGGTTCTCCACAATGATCCCTATATATTTCCTCCAAAGATTAGTTGAGAGCAGGAGCCCAGGGTGATGGTCTCCTGTTGAGAGAATTTGATTAAAGACTAAAGTATTTCATACTTGGTGATTATTTCATTAATTCTAATAACCATTTCTCTTTATCATGTATGGAAAATGTTAGGAGAAAATTGATGCAGGTCACCATAGGGACCTAGAGGGCCAAGGAAGAGCCTCCCAGTATAGGCCATTATACCAAATACTCCCCCCCCCCAACCCTGGTTTTTATTTCCGATGTTGGTTTCTATAAAATTAAGTCTTAATCAGGAGCCCACAACCCTGTTATAACCATACTCAAGCCGACATCACCTATTGATATTAATGTGCCAACCAGAAGCACATTGGTTCTTGAAACAAAAGATTCTTTTATTTCCCTTGTAACAAATTTCAATAACAAAACCAACGTTTTGGGGCTCCTGATCTTAACACTCTTTCTATACTCTTAAGTAAAAAGGTCAAAACTTAACTCAATTCTTTGATTTATCAATTTCAATGGCAAAGAGTCTCATTTCAATGTATGCATTCTTACAACCAATCAAATAAGGACTATATTTAGATTTGGATGTGTTTGTGATGTATTTGCTGACCTTTAAACTATTAACGTCATGTGACAACCATCCTACAAACTGCCAAGTTTGGAATAACATGAAAGGAGAGACAGTGGACACACATAATTCCACCTTTTTGTGCTTCTTTAATTATAATGAATAGAAAATACAGGACACATAGTAATTATACAAAAGTAAACACCACAGCAAAAATGCACTACTCTTACAAAAGTGAAAAAAAAGTCACACGAGCTTCCCAGTATGCATTGCATTAAGTTAACAAACTATTTTAGCTACACTAAAGCCTCAAGCAGTTTTAAGTTTTAAAATTATGTGATTGTCACATATGCAGCATGAGTTAGAATGCCATAACAAAGGAACCACACACTGTGACTAAAAACTAAACCCTTCACGAAATATTGGTGAAAGTGCTGTAGCAAAACAATGGCACGAGCCTTTGCCCCACCCACACACCCCTTTCAACACAAGGATGATCAACTTCAGTAACACCAAACCTAGTCTCTCTCATTGCACGCTGCCATTAGTTTATTGGTTAACAACCTGGATTAAAATAGCACGAGCATTCATGTTAGCTGATCCGGACCCTATCCACATGAATAAGGGAAAAAAAGTTTCTTACTAAATAGTTCTACTGTGTTGATGGAGCCTTTATGTAGCCATACCCTTCCAGCATGGTATTGGTAGCTGTGGCCAGTCAAAGCTTCCCGCTCCTATGCTTGGAGGCAGGAAGCATTGTGTGACTTTGAAGGGGTACATGTTGGCTACAGTGTATGTTGGCAGGTGGAGTGAAATGCACACATTTAATTTTATCCACTGAGTTGATTAAGTAGATCCAAGAGATTCAAAAGCTGGCATTTCAAGCACTAATTAGCCCTTCATCAGCTCCAACGAATGTGATAATCAGGGCCCAGTTGTTCGACAGCCAATTTGCAGTTAACCCAGGGTCAAATTTAACCCAGGTTTCTTTCTCTTTTGCTCAAAAACATTTTCTTTGTTATTTTTAAGAACATGCAATCATCACTTTGTTAACAAAAATAATTAAACTGAATTCACTTTTTAAGCTTTCATATCTGAATTCGAATTTTGCACTAACCCTGGGTTATCTTAACCCAGCTTTGAACAACCCGACCCAGGGGGTTAAAAATAAGCTTACTGCAACTTAAAACTGCTTTGACAAATTCTCTTATTCACATGTATGTATTCTTAATTATGTAGACTGGGATATGTGACAAGGAGCTGCGCCTACAAGCTACTCCTCATTGACCAGTGGTTCCATTGCAACCTTGCTTTTAACGGGATATGTAGCCTCTTCATAGGTTGGAGGCTTGACGCCCAACTTGCTTGCACTGGTGCGACGTTTCTTGCAGCAGTAGGCAATGGCAAAGACCACCATCAGGGAAACCAAGATAGCACTCACAATGATGCTGGTCTTGACAGCGGTGGACTGGCGCTTGAACCAGGATGCAAACCCTGGACAAAAAAACAGAAATTTTTCACAAGGACGAGTTAATGACTTGACGTTTTAGTACATGTTTTTTTCCTGTGTATTTTTGGAGTGGCCCAATAAGTTACTGTCTTATAAATTCAGTAAGGCATTTCATTCATTATATGGTCATGAGTCCATTATCGGGCAGGATGAAGCAAACCTCTTGTTCTGATTGACTTCCCACACTGGCTTAAGACTTCCCACATTGGTCCCACCAGAAAAAGTTTTCTTTTAGCCATACAATAAATTAAATCCATTATTGACCAAGCTTGTTTGGTTTCTTGATAACTGGATATTGGCCTCCTTAAATTAACCACAAGGTTTCTTTCAAGGATTTTAACTCTTGATTACGACCTGACTGGGTTCCTAGGAATTGAGGAATCAACCATGCTCTATAGAAACTAAATTATAGCCCTCTTTCAGAGAAGGGGATGCATATATCTCCACAAACGGGAGATTATTTAATGCATCCCTTAGGAACTAACAGATGAGAAGATTAATACTCACTGCCGCATTTGCCCCAACGACGATGCTCGTGAGCCTCATCATCGTGTTCACGATCCATATGAGGCAGCTTGCCCTTCAATAAGACAATATCCATTGGTTTGGGAATGTCAATCTTGATATAGAGATCCACCTGTCAATGAAAAAATAAAAAAAACAATTGTGTCTACTTTTGGTATTTCCTTAGAACTCCCCTAACTGTAAACCATATTTGCTGCTAGCTTAGAAAAATGAACCTATAGGTATTCAAAACATTATACAGTTAATTTGCAATTCAGAAAACAGCTCTTTCATTTTTCCAGATGCAGAAATACAGGCTTAATTTCCTGGTCCAGGTATTGCATGCATAGAAGCAAACCTACAAGGAGGTTTTCACATGAGAAAAAGAAAATGTGCACCTGACACATGGGTTTCTTTATTTGTTCCCATTCTTTTTTTTTTAATTAAGGGGTCTGTGCATGTCCTTTATCAGAATTTCAAAACCTGTCACTTCAGATATCCAGAAGCAAGCCATCCATGTTGGTATTTTACAATAATATTGTTGCGTTGATCGTATGTGTCAATGTCACAGTTTCAATCCATCTTTGTGTTTTTATGTCACCATTAATTATTAATGATATGTTGCTGTTTCAAGGCCCTGTCCCTTGTTAGAATAAATTTAGTCTCACAGGACCTCATTTTGGAAAGACAAAATTATTTTTATCTGTTTACATTGATTTCAGGTGCATGCAAAGCCACTGACACACAGAAAACTATCTAAGAGGATATATATATATACAAGTTGACTTCATGCAAGGACTGCATTTCACTTAATTCACATTGATAAATTACCTTGAACGCAACTCCCATTCTTCCTTTGTAGACTGTCAACATCAGGTACATATCTGGGTTAGCCACTCCCTTGATCTTCAGAGGGAAACCTGGCACCTGGATCTTGTCTCCACTCTTGAAAGTATGCGACCATTCATAGTCAAGGTTTGGAACCTTGAGAGTGATTGTTGCGCTCACTTCACCCTCAGCAGAGTTAAACTCGAGACTCAGTGTGACTGTCTGACCATCCAGCTGTGAAGAGCAAGTAATTTTGCTACAGCCTTCCCCGCTGGAGGAACATGTCATAGAAAGGTCAGGAGAAGTGTAAAGTGGAGGACATTTCTTGTCGTCATCATGCTTCTTGTGATACCTATCGCGATCATGGTCACGGCCACGGTGTCCACCTTTTGCTGATATGCAATGAAGTAAAAACACTACGTCACGCGGCAAACTAATAGGCCACTTCTCAGTTCTGAAAACTCGCACTTTCAAAACAAAGCTAAGTAATTAAACATGTTCATGATTGTGTTGTCTGTCAGTTTGTGCATTTCAGCGCTTCATGCCACTGAGACTGCAAATTTTTCTTCTTTGTTAATTCGTCATACCATAAGTAATAGACAGAAAAGCTTTTCTTCGACAACACCCAAAATGTTTATAAATTCCACGAATTCCTAAAATAGATATCCTAAAGAAGATGTACTTACAGTTATGACTTGCATCCAAAAATTTCACTCATTTTTATTAAATGTTTCTAATATTTTGATGCGACTAAAATTGACAAAAAAATGCCCAAATCGGCCTCCGCTACCACCTTAACGGATAAGCTCCGCATGCAACCACATCTCGCATACCGTATCCCACTTCCCACATTTCAGCGAGAAACAAAGTAAAGACGACGTCACATGCATATAGCTATTTAATTCTTATGACAACTTACAGTCCGTACATGCATCACGCACCACTAAGCTGAAGTTATGTTATCGATAAATTTGGAAGATAGCCTTGAAAAATGTAAAGAGAATAAATCACTTCTAACAAAGTAACAACTAAACTCGGACACGAACAATATTTCAAAGTATTAAACAATGAAGTGTACAAACAAAGTCTTCGTTGCGGATGACACTATATGACGCAGCATCTTCTTTCGTTTCGACGGAATCAATTAACAGAGCTAGGGAAAAATACGTTAGTGAAGATATCTTGTGCTTTTAATGTCCGTGAGGTAATGCAGTGGAAATGGCTCACACTTTAATCGGTTTTCTTTCCCCAAACTAAAATTACAGGACAAGGTTTTTATGAAACGTCATGAAATAAACAAACTTGAAGCAGCTGAAATCTAGGAACAGCAGATGAAACGTTCCTCAAAATTTTCCTCAGAAACACAACGCAAATTCAAAACTTTTGCGCTCGCTTTATACGATTTTTTAAAAAAGTGAACCGATTCCTTGAAGAAATTGAAATGAGTTAAAGTTTTTCGATCATGATGACATGGATCATCGCACTGCAAAAGACGACATGGCTGGTGCGAAAGGTTCTTATCCAGCAATTTCGTTGAGCGTAATGTTTTTCACCTATTAAAAGACTAGCAAATCAGTATCCGGGAAAGGATAGGAAAGTTAGGTTTACCTTTAAATTTTCTCCTACGTGAAGAATTGACAGTGTATTGTCAAAACAAATATGTTGCATAACAAAATTTGCACCTAACCGAAAAACATCGTCACTTTGGTACGTACTTGCTGCATAAACTCAGATCTTAGAAAAATGTTTTACAGAAGAAACATACCTAGAGAAGAAGAAGCCAGGCCCAAAATCAGCAACGAAACGAGAAACTTTCCCTCCATCTTGATGTTCGAATGCTCACTGTGTTAAGGAACCGCCGAGAATTAGATATTCAAATCAATATTTCCTTTTATGGCCGTTCCTAGGAGACCAACTAAGACGTGTCAAGAAAACAATAATTTTCACAAATAAAAAACTACGTCACTTGCCAAAAAAAGAGCCACTGAGCCAATCAACCGAGCTACATTTCGGCAACAACTTCCTTAAAAGCTGTGTTCAAAAAGATTAGGTAACAACACAACTCTAGTAAAAATGCGAATAGATTTTTAGCGAAAAAGTACAGTCAAACCCTCTTTACGGACACCCTCTTAATACGAACAGTTTTCTTTGTCCCTAGGGAAAGCCCCCACATTTTCTCTAAATTCAACCCGCTTATTACAGACTTGACCCGTTAATTCAGACAACGGACACTTCTCTCATGCCCAAGGGACAGATAGAAAGTCAACCTCGCTAATGCGGACTCTTCATAATCAGCTGTGTGTTGTGTAACAAACCTTTCCTTTTTGAAGGTAACACCTACGGCAGCAAACTAGTTTCGACTTGGTACACGTAGCTACAAGTCGACCTCATGAGTTTCTTTGCGAGCGGAGCGAGCTTTTTAGGCCGGGAGGGGAGTGGCCATGCGAACGCGCGACGAAATCTTGCCTCTATTTGCGTTTCGCGCCAAAGTATGATGGAAAGTGGCGTGACTAACATTTGCGAGTCCTAAACTAGCCACATTAATTTTTCATTAAATTGGACGAAGGACTTTTTTGAAAGTCTACAAACTAGTTGTACAGAGAACGTTTTTGATTAAGTAATGTAAAGATGAGCGATTTTAGGGTGTTTCCGTGGATTTGCCCCGCGGAATGACGGATTTGTGTGAGTTGAAGATGTTTGAATTGACGATGCTAATGTCCTCTTTTATTTCTTTCCTTTTTTTGTTCTATTCACTTTAATAACATGACACGCTTAATACGGACACTTTCTATGGCTCCCTTGAGTGTCCGTATTACAAATGTAACGGGTGTGTCATTGATATCATCATCATCATCATCATCATCATCATCATCATCATCATCATCATCATTTAATTGTGCCAATAAGAAAATTTTCCAATCTGATTGGCTTTCAGCAGCCCTTTAAAATTGCTTACCGTAAATGGTTTCACAAACGCCCTTCGCGTTTGTGATTAATTTTAGGGCCATTGAAGAGTAGGCGTTTTTTAGACAGGAGGCGTTTTAATAAAAGAGGGAATCGCTTATTCCAATCAGAAAGCTAGAAACCCGTTGCATATAATTACAAACAGAATCTCTTTAAAAGGAAAGGAATAGTGTCTTTCTTCAGCGAGCCAGCGCCCGAAACTTCTGACTAAAAATGAAAAGGTGAGTAGAGTCTGGGCACTACTGCGTCATGCATGATTTCCGAGAAAACAAGGCTTGACTTCCTTATGGATCGTTTTTTGAAGAAAGGCTTAACAACTTCACTGGGGCGGAATATTTCTGTTTGAATCTATTGCCAGATTGTAGTAAAAATGGCTTCAGAGCGGATAGTTATTGCTGGTCTTTTCGTGTTCATTTTTTGCCAGGCATTTTCTTCAACCGCAGGTAGGTTTGTTCAGATTTTAACATGGTTTCGAATGGTTTTTAACGTGAAATGAGAAAAAATCGGCTTAAGTTTGCCCGCTTTGTGCGAGAAATCACATTGTAACTTTACTAAAAAACGTGTTTGTTTTATTAGAATCACTTGATGAAATACGCATTGAAGAAAGCATTGTCGTGGGTTACAGTTTTCTCGGAAATCTTGATGCCGTAGCCAGGGGAAAATTCTAGTTTCGAGGAACATTTGAACGTTTTCGGTATAAAAAAAGCTGTCTGTATGGCAAAGACCAATCCATCGCCAAAAAGTTAAAAAATGTGTTATTGTCACCCATAGCTCTATCTAGATAAAGGTATTTTTTTTATACTACTCTTTTTTTTCCGCAAGAGAGAAAAATCTCTCTCTCTCTTGCTTTCTCGGAATCTTGAGGGCCTTGGTGAGTTCTTGGAATCAACCAAATGCTCTGCCTCGGGACTCTTCGCGCGTCTACTTTGAACAATACCGCATATTTTGCTTCGCGAATAACCACCAAATGAAGTCATAATTTACAAAATAACCATTAAAAACTTGACGGATATATATGACCTGTTTCTTTAGAATGAGAGAACGGTAAAAATTGGTAAAGGAATTCGCTTCGAATGGCGAGTGAAGCGGTGAAACTCCTCCCGTTTATTATATCGAATCCCAACTGTCGACATTTTGGAGCTTTCTGATCAGTCTGTCTGATGGCCTTAACAGCTTTTAGAACCTCTCTGGTAACGTTGTAAACTATGATATTAAAGTTTTAAGTATTTTTAGCAAACGAAATAACTTAAATATACTTGATCATATTTCAGTATTTCTTGGCTTGTCCATCGAATTCCACAGTTGTTCAACTAGCCGGGAAGGTTGCTTCAGAAACCAGTTAAACTGCTCCGGCTTTTAAATTTGACTCGATTTCACGATATTAGAACCGCATTATGGAATTTAAAGCTCTACAAACGAATCAAAAAACTTCTAAAACCTCCTGAAAGAGTAGCTTGTATCGTCTAGCGTGTTATTTGAAATTAAAATTTCGCTAACGTGATGTCAAATTATCACTTGATATGTGCAGTTAATGGCCGCTTGCCTGTCGTCATTTCCATTTTTTAGTTGTGGTCTTTGAAATACTAGAATAAAAACGTCCACAATAAAACAGAATCATAGCTCAATGAACCAAGTATTAAATTTATTGATACTCTGATAGTACGTGGTGGCATTCCAATTATTTCAAGCACTGCGTCGACCACCGACGGAAGTTCCTCGGAACCTCTGAGGTATCGCCAAGGGTTGAAGTACTGGAGTTTCACAGGCCGCTGTAAAATTGTTGATCATTGTTGGAAAACAAATTTAAACCTTTGCGATTTCCTTGTAAATACCACTTCAAGCGTCCATGACATTTAAGATGTTTTAAAATGCAATAGTTTTCGGGGGAATGAAACGTCAGTAAATTACGCGAAGACATTCGAAATATCGCTGAGTCGTATCACGTCGTCATGACCACCAAGGAACGGGCGTGAAAATCGGTTTGTAATTTGTACCATAGTATTTTGCAAACTTTTAATACAGGGAAAGTTGCACAAGTATATTCTTACAGTTTTTTCCGAAATATCGACATTTGGAATTCACAGTGATTTATTCTAGTTTCAGATAATCGCTTAAACTTTTGCCAGCCTTTGTAGTGACCGTGGGTGAACATTAATTTGTGGACGATGAAATTTTGGACGTCTTTTGATACAAATCTCCCCCTTACGACTTTAAAGTAATACTTTCGTCAGTCTTATTCTTGAAATTCTTATTAAAGCTCTGCAGAGTAAAGTACATGCGAGAAAAACACGTTTATCGTGTTGAGAACTTAGGTATCAGAAACTGGCACAGGAGGCCAGCCATCGAATAACCTGCGATCACGTATCATGAGGTATCCTTCTTCCCTTTTTGTTTGGGGAAAAAAACGCCTGATCGCAGGTTAGCTATCGTTTCCGATATTGTATGAACACCTAGCCGATATGCAACTCTTTACTTTAGTTTAGAGATCGTTACAGAAATCGCGCCGAGATCACCGTGATCGTTCCTGTTTGTCAACAGAAGCCCTATCCGATTTATCCGATATCATGATGGTCTTCGCGCTAGCCTGTGAACAGGCTCTCTGTCTGGGGAAAAAAATAGCAAGGAAAGGGAAGGGAAGGGGGGAGAGAGCCTGTAGACACACGTTTGAGGCCGCTATTCCGCCCTCTTGTAATTATCTTGCCGAACATCTGTCAGCAAGATCGTTATCTGTCAATCAATTTCGCGCGTGAGTAACTCCTGGGAAAAGGGAAAACATCCGTGTTTTGCTTCGTCTCAAAACAAAGTGAAATGGACCGCGAGCCTAATTGTCGATTTTGAAAAAAATCGTTGATCTCCGGTAAGAGAATTAATACGGTGCCGGTCGTTGGCGTTTCAAGAAATAAGACCTTGCTGGTTGACAGTGGCCAAGACAGCGTTGTACTAGCGCAAGCATTTGATTGCTCAAGATTTCCTCTTGTGCAAGGAGAAAGCTTTTCCGATTTAAGCTGCTTAACTTGTGCTCATCGCGCCGTTCGTCTTGCTAGTTCAGTTTCTAATTCAACAAGCCCCTACAATGAGCGAACTTGGAATGCGAAAGGTACGGATACTATCATGACTTCTCCAGAACGTGAACCTCCAAAGACAAGTACAAAGAAATCAACAGCGCTTCGATCGCCGACAGGAATTACACCTTTGGGTATTTATCCCGCATTTATAGCAATAAAAGAGGGCGGTAGGCCTACACGGCGTTTACCTCACGCCAAAATGCTGCCTGTTCCCATAAGTTTTTTCCTCTGCTCGGTAGATTATGCTCTGGAAGGTTCTACATTTTCACTGAGCAAATATGGTTTTAGCCGCTGGTTTCACACTGAGAGGTCATGGCATACATATCGATTTACTGTGGTTTTTGTCTCTGGTCGGCAGGATTTTCCCTCTCTGATGCAAGAGCATTTTCTTTGACCTCTTTTGAAGCGTAAAGCTTTTTATTGCGGCTGAATAAGGGTCGTACTTTTCTCCAAAGTGCCCTCTGGATCTGAATAACTAAACGATTTTCTTTAGTCCGTAAATGTAATGTTTTTCTGAAATGTTGTATCACGCTGGGCCCAGGTCGTTAGTTTCTTTGCAGAATGTTTAAAATGATCACGGAGAGTAATTTACAGATCCAAAGTTATAAGATTCAAGTGCAGCTTAAACCGAAGCTACATCAACTATGGAGAATTGCATTTTGACTCGGTAAACTCCAGCCTAGTGTTTTTCTATCCATTAGATAGTGTGAGTCTTTTGACTAGCCTGCAGTGCAGGCGTTTTCATCGGGCGCGCGCGAATGGTTTTAATCGCGAAAGCGCCATGTTGAAACTCCCGAAGAGAGGAGGAAATGGGGCGAGTCAAGGGGAGGGGGGAGGGGGCGGGGAGAAAGAAGAGAAAACTTTTTTTATTTTTATTTTTTTCTTCCCCTCCCCCTCCCCCCTCTTCTTTTTTTGCCCTCACACCTACCGTCAGGGCACCGTCAGGGTTAATATTACTACTCTCCCCAATCTTCCTCTGTCATAGAATCAAAGATGGCGGCTTCATCGTAGCGATCCGATTAACAAGCTTTCACCCCCAAATACGCCTGCACTGCAGGCTATCTTTTGACCGGAGCGCGTAGTTCCTCCCTGGGTAATAGCTTTTGAACAACAGTCTTTGGAGTGTTTTGTTATTTCCAAACGCGTGTTACGTGCCGACCGAAAAGCCGATGTCAATCAGACCTTTCAACAGTCAGTGTTCTCGCCAATAAGAACTTGCATCAGGATCTGATGCACAGCGGGTGCCGTGGAACGGCGGTCCCAAAGGCTTGTCCACAGGCCTTTTCGCTTTTCCCTCTCCCTAATTCCCTGCTCGACCAAAGGCCTGTTCACAGGCTATCTTCGCGCCAGCGCAAAAGCTATCTGGTATAATGTAAACGTAGCCTTAATCTAATCAGTAGGTAAAGGTTTTATGATCAGCAGTTAAATCATTTTGTTTTTAGCTGAGTTTGAAGACCACCAAGATATAGAGCCAAACTCCATCTCTGAGGATGGGGGATGTTCCGGTTCTTCTCCAACCTTGGGCGATGGCTGTTCACTAAGCGATGACTGCAGCACGATCACCTGCAAAATAGATGTTGGCGATTACCAAATCACATTCAAACTGAAGGTATGCTAAGAATTTAACGCCATAAAGGACTAGGTAGTTTTAGATTGCGAACTGAAACGCTTATGACAAGCAACTTTAGTCAAATGAAAGCTACTGAGCAGTACTTTCCTGTGGTACTGTTTATTATGGTGTACAAGGTGGTTCTAACGTTTGAGTCTGTGGATGACATCCTATGGTGTGACCATTCAAATGAAAGCAGTACTTTCCTGTGGTAGTGTTTATAATGCTGTACAAGGTGGTTCTAACGTTTGAGTCTGTGGATGAAATCCTAAAGTGTAACCATTTAAATGAAAGCTACTGGGCAGTACTTTCCTGTGGTGCTGTTTATTATGCTGTACAAGGTGATTCTAACGTTTGAGTCTGAGGATGACTCCTAAAGTGTGACCATTGAAATGAAAACTACTGGGTAGTTTAAAATTCTTTCCTGTGGTACTATTTGTTATGCTGTACAAGGTGGTTCTAACTTTTGAGTCTGTGGATGAAATCCTTAAGTGTTACCATTCAAATGAAAGTTACTGAGCAGTTCTTTCCTTTAGTATGCTGTACAAGGTGTATCTAACTTTTGAGTCTGTGGGTGGAATCCTATGATGTAACCATTCAAAAGCTACTGGGTAGTTCTTTCCTGTGGTACTGTTTATTATACTGTACAAGGTGGTTCTAACTTTTAAATTACGGTGGATGAAATTTTGAAGTGTGACCATTTCTCGTGAAGCAGCGAAAAGGTGAATAGCTGTCGTGTATAAATAGGCTTGATTGATGAAAATATATATTCTCTTACGCGCTAGATCAACAAATGTGATGACCCTGTTACTGTAACGGCTTCCATGGATGTCCCGGATCTGGATATCACGTGGTCTCATACCTACAGTAGTAATGACAAAATTGCAGTGCCCGGATTTAGTGTATCTTTGCCTCCTATCTTTTCTGCTGGTGTGTACGTTCAAATAGACTTCACCAATAACGGAGATACACTGCATTTAAAGGTGTGTTCTTAAAGGCTTTCGTTTATAATCAACTGAAAGGAGAGGGGGTGGGGTGGATGGGGTGTTGGCAAAATCCAATCAATACTTTCCAGTCTCCCCACCCACACAAGTCACTTGCTAAAGGGCTTTTTCCGTCTCAATAAATACATGCCCCCATACGTCACGATGGAAAAAGCTGTTTTTGCCTTAAATAAACAATCAGCCAATTGACCACTCCAGAAAATATCATAACATACCATAATGCTCTTTGTTTGTCACCCCAAAATTTTGCATAAGCATTGTCTTCAGTTTCTCTTGGGAGTTAAAATGGCCCCAAGAGAAACTGAAAACAATACTTATGCAAAATTTTGGAGTGACAAACAAAGAGCATTCTGGTATGTTCTGGTATTTTCTGGAGTGGTCAATTGGCGGAGGTAGGTCACGAAAGTAGGTCACGTGATGAAAGGTTTTCTGTTTAGCCAGGCGTGTTCTTATTTACAGTGGTCACTGTGTAAATGGTTTTCCACATATATTTTTTTAAACTACACTTGACCACCAAGAAGACTAAAACGTTCTTTTTTTAGTGTCAATGTATTTAGCACGAAAATACTAATTGGGGACACTACAGTAACGTCTCCTACTGGAGACGGGACCGCCATTTTACGTGGTCATCCGAGCCACGCAAAGGTCTAGCTGCTTGTAGTGCAAAGGGAGTACCTTTATTTCTCAGTTATTTTTAAGACCCTGAGTACTACTTTGTTATGATTTGAATGAACATTACTCAATCAGGGGCACCCAACGTCAATTTTTGGAAAATATCTGTTCGGAAGACGGTTTGAGATCTAGAATTTTTGGAACATTTGTTGTAAAATTTCTTGCTTGCCTGCCTCTCCTAGGATTTTCGAACATCTAAAAAATGGTATAATTGCCCATTTTTAACCGATTTTTACCCTTAAAAGGTCACCTAGAATTTTCGGGGCCTTTCAAGTTTCCAGCTGAAATTTTCGAAAAGGTAAGCCGGGGTTGATTTTCGGATCACTAGACTTTCAGCTAGGAAATCCGAACAGATGAAAAATTTTTAGGGGATAAAAATATGCCTGTATCAACTGTTTAAATACTAAAATACGTTCAACAATGCTATGTTTAAGTGTTTTTGAACTATATTCTCGTTGGGTGCCCCTGACTCAATTGAATGGAATCAGTTTAAGCTGACTGTTTTCAATCTTTTACCAGGTAAATCTGCTGGCTGGAGCCGAGGATGTTTATCCCTTCAAATTTACTGTTGTGGAGGGAGACTTGCCGATCTCAACTGACGATTGTGGCAAGTAAAACTGATCTTGATCAACATGGCGTACTATATCTAATTAAAAGCAGTTCTTGTCACGAGTAATAATCTGTACGATAAAGTACTTAACCTGACACTTAATACAAGCACTTAACTTCTAGCGGGGCACCCGCGGGACCAAATTAAAGGTACGGCTTAAATACGAGAGGGAAACCAGCGGGATTATATTAAGTGCCGGGCCATACGTGTATCAGCGTGTCCCCTGACCTCATTACCAAGCGATGGTGGTAACCATGGTAACACAGACGAAGCAGTAAAATGCAGGGAGTTCCGATAAAAACAAGTGCCAGGTGAACACAAAAATAAAACGGGACCTTGGTTCTTATCGGGAAGTTTTGTTCCATACATTTTCTATCACTGATATCGGAGCTACGTAGTGGTTCAATTTAATGGGGAATCACTTTGCACCTCCACAGTGCAATACGTGTAGAAAAGGTGTCAGCTTGAAAAGAAATGACTTACCGGTAAATTTGTTGTTTTTAGGATTCTTTGGATGGTTTATTGACCTAAGTGTTCCTGCCAAAATAGCAGTGATCGCTGGAACGGTTGTTTTTCTCATCGCCGTCTGCTGTGGCTGCTGTTGTTACTGCTGCTGTAGGAGGCGCCGCTCCGCCAATCAAGGTCCTATCATCATCGTGCCTGGTGTTGGTACTTCCGCTGTCATGACAACGAATGCCAACACTCGGGTTCCCATGCGACCATTGGTCGAGGAGGAATGAGCCCCAACTAGCTCCTAAGTTCTTAGAATAGTGTCTCCCAATGCAGCCTTGAGCCCTCATTATACGCAGCCAAACTTATTTAGTCCTTTTTTGTGTGATGAATTAACCGTAAAATCAACCATATATCGTTTGAAATAACAGTATGAAGTTTTGCTATTATCAAGTTTGTTGTTTTGAGTGCTCTTTTTGCCTTAGCTTGTCTCGTAGATAATGGATTTTCTCCCCCATGATTGGTCCCAAGTGAAGACCAGCCTTACATGTTTTCATGGAATTTACGTTATGTTGTAATGGTTCAAAAACAGTTGATTATGAGATTTTGTTAGCCAGCCTACGAATGAAATAGACTGTAGACCACGCTTAAAATGAGTCAGGTCAGGGTTGAACACTGAAAATAGGAATTAAGCACCGACTATAGTAATTAGGATTAAGAATTAACAATTATATAGTGATAAGAGTTAAACATTAATGGAACTCGATATGCTTTGCATTTTTTGAGGTTTAGGTTTGCCATTGTATGCACCATGTATTTTGATCAAAGTAGTAATTGACAACGAATTTGAAAGATTCTAACCTTTTTTTGACTTAACTCATGACTCATTTTGACTCATTTGTACCTATCTCTAGCTATTTCAGTGTAAACGGAACCTAAACGGGCCACCACTTGTTTCAGCTGATAGAGGTACCGGTGCGATCGTAATTAGTGTGAATAAATCAGCGTTTGTGATTGAAATGTAGGGCGTATTCTTGGCTCAGTTCGGTTCTCCAGTTTATTTTAACCTCAAGTCAGTTCGCGTTAGAATATTTTATCTTCTTTTTCCTTTTGTTTCTTAAGACACAAACTTGATAAACTGAGAAAAAAGACGCCACCTTACCCTTGACCCCATTTGAGGAAAACATCCTAAAAAGAATAGTCTTATACGGATGGAGATCAAGCTTTTGAGATAGGATGATACGTATTATAGTGAAGAAATATGTTCAATAATGGAATGTTCAATAATTTTGTTCCAGACTCGTAGCGTCCACGCTTTTATTTTCTCAGGACATGATCATGGTTGAAAGAACGAACCAGAAGGGACTGGGATTAACTCTATTGTTTTCGCGTTCGTCAATAGAGCGACCAATAGAGCCGGTGTTTTCACATGCCGTCACGGTGGCCATATTGGTGTCCCAAAACAATAAAACCTGGGCCATATATGGTGTCCCGAACCAATCCTGCGGGAGTTGAACTCTTTTCTAATGCAAACGCTTTCTTTTGTTCCAATCAATTTGCGTAGACGGTGGCCACGTGAGTGAAAACACTCTATTGAGATTCTCAAATATATAGGTGCGTTTCTTTGATATCATCCAGATCAGGATCAGTGATCCGAGATCACTCTGATCAGTAGATCAAATGAACTGATGAATCCTTGTCCACAGTGGATTCATCGGTTAATTTGATCTACTATGATCCGCGTAATCTGATTGGATCTGATTGGATCATGGAACGCACCCACAAATCTTTATGGGTTCTTCAACTGGGCCGAGTTGTTCAAAGCTGGGTTAAGATAACCCAGGGTTAGTTGGAAATTTGAATTCAGATATGAAAGCTTAAAAAGCAAATTCAATTTAATTCTTTTTGTCAACAATTTGATGATTGGCTACTCTAAAAAGCATAGAGGAAATTATCCGAGAAAATGCTTTCGATCAAAAGAAAACGAAGAGACCCGGGTTACAATTTAACCCTGGGTTATCGCTAATCGGCCTTCGAACAACTGGGCCCTGGGCTTGTTTTGCCCTCTTTCCACTCCCCACCCCCCTCCCCCTTCGCCCTTCATTAGGGAGCTTAAGCAACGATGATGGCAACGGCAGCTAAAACGTCACCCGAAAACTGAATTCGCGCTGCTTCAAATTTCAGGAGTTGAATTCTAAAGGACTGTATCTAACTTTACAAAAGAAAAAGAAAATAGTTGTCATGTGTTCCCGTCCTCCATAAAACGTGAAGTTAGAAAAATTTCACGCCGTAGCTGTGCAGTGACAGCTACAAAAAATACAAAAAAGCGTGATGCCCGTGCAAAAATGTTGTTTTGCGAGTGTTGCCGTTCTCGTTGCGGACGCCGCCATCGTTGGTTAATAAGCTCCCTATTCCGGTCCTGCGTCACTGTGGTTCGTCACGGCACAATGCGCTATTCACAATTTCCGAGAAAATGGCCTCGATTCGAAGAATACTGCAAACCGGTCAAACAGGAAATCTGGCTAATGCCTCCTACCAACAACCACGAAGAGTGACGTTAAAACATTTTTGTTTGCTCCTTCGGTGTGATGATGGCTTGGAGAAGGAACTTGGCAACTGGCTTTTATTTTCTTATTTTTACCCAACTTTTGTCTTCAGTTGCAGGTCAGTTTAGTTTACAAACTGTTACAAACTATCTCATCTCTGATGACCAGTGAAATTATAATTTCTTGTGATCGTTAGCATGCTTTTGTTGGTAGTTTGGGGTCTTATAGTATTTTTTAAACGGCTACGACTTGGTGTAATAGATTCTTTGGGAAAAGGCCGAATATAAAACAGGTCAATTTGTTGAAAAGCGAAAAGATCTCTTTTATAGAATTATACGCCCTTGGAGTGTGTCAGATTTCTCAGAAACTTTGATCTCCTGTTTCTTCGAAACGAAACAATTAAGACTCTCAATTAAGTTTAGCGTCCTACACATTCTGCGTGAGGTACAAGCCCATATACAACTATAAACTCTTAACTGCTGAAAATTTTGCATATAAATCCTTTCACTTAAATAAGTAAACTTCGAGAGTTGAAATCTAGCTGTTCAAAGAAATTTCTCTTTGTTCACCGGCTCGGAAACTTCCACTTGAAAAGTCTTTGAACTTTAATAGATTGCGGATCGCTTATAGATTACCGCACTGCTAATATAACGCTGTCTTTGGTCACCAAAAATTCAAGAGAACTATCTGGAGAAATAACTTGTTTTGATCTTGATATGAAAGCAAATCAAATATTGCATTTTGCGATTTAGTTTTAATAGTCTTTGGACGAAAAAAATTGAGCGGCTTCAGGAGAACGCGTGCGTTGGAAACGGCTGGGTGGATGCATGGATCGTCGTTGTAACCTGAAATTTATTTTGACCGTTTTCAGTACGGTATCATTTTTTTCTCCAAGCTAAGCCGGCTCTTTGATTGTGAATAAATATGAAATCAAGAAGCAAGACTGACTGCAGCTAGAAGAATGCTAGCCTTTCTTCTTAATCTTTGGTAGTTTATTCGACAAAATTTGCCCACTAGACTGATTTACCGGGATTCGGCACCTTTTTGCCTTGTACCTCGGCCCTTGGTGCGTATAGACTTCCCCTGCCATTCTTGAGTAATGTTCCTTAATTTTTTTCAATATTCATATCAAATTCAATTATTTGTGACGCGGCACTCTCGAATCTTCCGCTTGGGGGGCGATTATATATCATCGATCGAATTAGGGAGCGCGATTAATTATGCCCAATCGGTTTTTAAGCTACCTGAATAAAGCCAGTTTTACACATTTTTCGTGTTTTAACACGAGTGAATATCGCTTTAAAGCAAGATTAAAAGAGATGTATAAAAAAACTTGGCTTCGTTTGTCTCCTTTTGTTAAACCTAATTTCTTTTCATTCTGCTGAAAACCTTATTAAAATTCATAAAAAACTGCATGTTTATTTATTTATTTATTTATTACAATCTATGGATTAAAAACCAAAGAATGAACTGTAAAGGAGTCCTAGACCCCATATAAAAACAGATCACCTAAAAATATATAGAAACACAATAAAATAATAGTTTCAGAAAATACAGAAATATAAAAGCTACTTAAAAATCACTGAAAAATTTCCTAACTCTAGACTTAAAAATATTTACATTATCAGAAACACGAATGTCTAACGGTAGTTGATTCCACTGGTCAGTAATTCTATGGAAAAAACTATACTTCAAGACATTAGTTCTGGCATATTTCTTCTTTAAAGTTAAAGAGTCCTTAGCCCTAAGTGAGAAGCGGTCAGCTTCTGAGTGGAAATCTATAATTTTATTGATGTCAATATCAATGTTGCCATTAAGTACTTTATATAAGAAAGTCACGTCAGCTAGTGATCTTCTCTTCTCCAGTGACATGAGGTTTAACTTCTTCAAACGAATGTCATAGGGATCATCACTTTTTAAGATAAGTTTAGTCGCTCTTCTCTGTACTCTTTCCAGCTTATCAGTATTTCTCTTTGTATATCGGGACCACACCACTGAACAATATTCCAAATTTGAGCGGACCGATGAGCAGTAAAGAGTACGCAAGGTCTTAGGGTCATCCAGACCTTTCCAAGTTCTCTTAATCAGACCGAGCATTCTGTTAGCCTTGGATACTACGTAATCTATATGTGGGTTCCATGATAAGTGATGATTTGTAATAATCCCCAAGTCTTTAAACTCTTTAACCTCTTCCAGTTCAGAGCTTTCCAGGAAAAAACTAGAAGTGAGTGGTTGAATCTTCTTAGTAATTTTCATAATTTTGCATTTCTTGACATTGAAGTTCGTGAAATTCCGAACACTCCACTGATGAAGACTATCCAGGTCCTGTTGAAACAATTCAAGATCACCAGCCGTGTCACTGATTCTAGAACATTTACAGTCATGAGCATAAAGAGCAATAGTACTGCCAGGAAGTACTACTTCGGGAAGGTCACTAATAAATATAACAAAAAATAAAGGCCCTAATAAAGAGCCCTAAGGAACTCCAGATGAGACTTCGGACCAGGAAGAGGATATACCATCCAGCACTACTCTCTATCGGAGATTGCTTAAATAGCTTTCACACCATTGTAATAATGAGCCAGTGATCCCAAAGTTGCACAACTTTTGCAACAAAACTGCATGGTTCACTTTGTCAAAGGCCTTTAGAAAAGTCTAAAAAGACTACATCAACTTGTCTGCCTTTATCAAGGGCAGTAGCCCACTGATGATGGGTTAAAATCAGTTGAGTCTCACAGGATCTA